TATGCATATAGGGAAAATCAATGACCCCCGGGGGCGGGGCCAATTTTGACCCCAGGGCTTTTATTTGAACTAACTTGGTAGACACCGATTAGAAGATGTTTCATGCTAAATATCTTAGCTCTAGCTTTTTGGGTTCTTTAAAACAAATTTTTTTTAAGTTTTTACTATATGCATATAGGGAAAATCAATGACCCCCCAGGGGCGAGGCCAATTTTGACCCCAGGGCTTTTATTTGAACAATCTTGGTAGACACTCATTAGAAGATGTTTCATGCTTGATATCTTAGCTCTAGCTCTTTGGGTTCTTTAAAAGAAGATTTTTTAAAGTTTTTACTATATGCATATAGGGAAAATCAATGACCCCCTGGGGGGGCCAATTTTGACCCCAGGGATTTTATTTGAACAATCTTGGTAGACACTCACTAGAAGATGTTTCATGCAAAATATCTAAGCTCTAGCTCTTTGGGTTTTCTAGAAGAAGATGTTTAAAATTTTTTCTTTTGGTTGCCATGGCAACCAGAGTTCTGCATGGAATGGAATTCTTTGAACAACTTTGTTAGAGCTTCACACAAGGAACATCCCTGTGAAGTTTCATTATGATCTGCCTTATGGTTTCAGAGGAGATGTCGTTTGAAAAGTGTGAACGGGGCCATCCTTAAAAAAATGTTTGTTTGCAGTAACGCGACCGACTCACAAAATTTGCCCCTACTCAAAATTTTTTTTCATGGTCTTGATAAAAAAATTTTTTTTTGAAATCAGAAAATTATGCCTTGTCAGCTTGTGCTTTGTTTTCGTTCTTTTAAAGGTTAATAGAAGAAATAAAATGTAGGTCTTATTTAATTAAAATTCAGTTATCAATTTATTAATTGTTACCAGATTATCAAAGCATATATTGTCCAGCATTTTGAAATTCCATGTTTATTTGGAAGTACAGTTCAATAATTAAAAAAAAAAAAAAAATCGACCTACCTACCCACCTTGAAAATTCTGGGTCGGGTTACTGCAAACAAACATTTTTTTAAGGATGGCCCGGACAACGTACGACGGACGAAGAGTGATCCTAATAGCTCACCCTGAGCATATGCTCAGGTGAGCTAAAAAGAATCTTAAAGAAAGCCCAACACCGCAAAATTGAAAATGTTGCAGGCTCGGTTTGACTAGTAATATCGGAAAAATGACGGTTTTAGAAAAGAGACATCTATGTTAAAATAATTGTAAAATTCATTTATATTTGAGTTCTACAAACCTCTTAAAGGGTTCTTTTATCCCGAAACCAAGTGCCTATGGTCAACGCCCCCTGACACCGGTTTTAGCAGAATTCAACATTTTATATAAACTGGTAAGATTTTGAATTTTGAAACATCTGCAGATGTGTTCATATGGCGGTTATCATGGAACCTTCGATGTAACACGTTAACGTCATTCCATGAAAATGCGGCATATTGTCCCAAAATAAAAAAAATGTGTCTGTCCTAAACGAGAACACAATGGGCGAAGCTAAATAAAATGGAATTTTAAAAGGGGATCAGAGGTTATGAAGCCTGCATATCGCAAATAAGGAAACTTAAACAGCTACAATTGATAAACTGTTTGCAAAGGCTATTGCGAGTCTTGTCAGTAGTCTAAGGGTTTTCGTTTAATAAATACCGGTGACGTTGTACATTAAAAACAGAGATATTAACGAGCGTTCATAGACACATAATTTATAAATGTCAGTACGCTAGCATTTTGTTGAACAATGGCGCTCGGTCTTTACGGCAATTGTCTAAATACCCAATCGCCTGTTCCACGGTCAATTACATAATGTTAATCAGCTTTAACATTTCTTTATTTGAAAGAAGAAAACTGTAGAATTTTCAGGTTTTCAAAATTGCCAACTGTGACAGGACATTCGTGTTTGATGTTTAGGTAGTTTTCAAGAAATGTTTTTGATTATATCTAAATGAAAAACATTTCTATCGTTATTATAAATATCTAAAATACTTATTGATTATGTGCCTCCTGTAGACCAATCCACTTTAAAATCACCAACCTTTCATCTACAATACTGAATAATAATGTTTGTCTGCCTGCTATGGCTTATTATGCTGGGGATTTGTTATTCTTTGAATACTAAAAATTGTAGACGTCTATGTTTATTTGAATACTGGAAAATGTAGACGTCTATGTGGATTGTTAGCATACAGATTTTGATTTTCATCCAATGCCTAGATTTCAGGCTTTAAGAAAAATTATAACAAAATTTACATGTTTCTGTCACTGGGAAATTTAAATTGTGTAACTCCTCTGCTGACCAAATAGAAAATGGGGGTCTGTACTTATAAAATTGTATTCTTCTGTTGCCGAGATACCAATACCGTCCCATAAGCTCAATAGGTAGAGCGTTGGACTGTGAATCGGGCGACCCAGGTTGGTACCCAGACGGCGCAGTTCATTTTCGTTGTCATTGATCATGAAATCCTTTCTACGGTCATTCGCACTGTACAGAAGTAATCAGTTTCTTGTTAAAGTGAAGGCAACTAGTACTGGTATACTGCATGACAGCCTGCACAGGAACGATGCGAGGACTGAACTGTGCTCTTGTAAATTTAATGTAGGTTAATGCCTTGATCCAGGGTGAAAACTACCGACACCACCACCGCCCAGATACCATGATCTGCACCTATAACCATCCATTGCAACCTGTGCTATAACTGGACCATAGCATGCCAGTGAGGACAATAACAGGCTTATACTGCCAGTATAGTCAGACCTAGGGGATTTTATCGAAAATAATCGAACAACCCTTTTCGATCAATCATCGATTATATAATCGAAGCATTCACATTAACGAAGTAAATGTGTACATGCACATACCATGCTTTTATATTTATAAGGAATCCATTAGTATTTTATATTTTATGTTACTACTACCACTACTACTACTGTACTACTTTATCAGCTGAAATACACTACTTTAAAGATCCTTGAGTATAATATTTTAATGAAATAAATTCATTAAAATCTATGAAATTATTATTTCTCAGTTTGAATAAAGAATAAATAAACTGGGAACTTTTGAAGATGCAACCTATTATGTGGACAAGTAACTTGGTCCTTTCTTAACAACACTGTCGGGATCTTTTTAATGTCAGTATATATTCATATTGTAGCCCCCTACTGTATAGTGTGTAGAATAATTTCATACATAACATATTTTTTTTTGTGTAGTCAAATCATGTTTAGAGACTCTTAGAAATTCATAATATTTTCTAATGTGAAATTTGAACATAGTATATCTTTAAATTTGAATGTCTCATTGTCAACTATTAACTCCATGGTCACCAGTAGCCACCAGTATGCTTTCATATTCATTTCAATGAAAAATTATACTGTAAACCAAAGCTGGCTTTAATTTAGAGTGTTGTTATAATACAGTGAGTCACTTAAAGTAACAGCGAGAAAATAAATTACTGATGATCGATTATTAAACTTGTAATCGACCATCGTCATCATTTCCTATAAACGATCAATTTTCGCTTATTACTCGATCATCGCTTAATCCCTAGTCAGACCTGCATATCACCGTGTATATCCAGTAAGGCAGGAATGTGCAAATAACGCAGAAATTGTGCATGCAAATGTAACACAGATTTGTGCAATTCTATGGCCAAAAAAAACAACAAAAAAAAAACGAGCACAGCTGAAAGTAAACCAATATTTTATATTCATATTGTACATCAAATTGGAAGAAATTAATTAGGGCATACATAGTGAGGTCGTCATTCTCACGAATGATATAAATTTGTTAACATATTCCTGAAATTATTTGTAATGCTGGTTTAAGTATAATGCCATAGCAGCTGTATTGTTTATTAATTTCTTTTACATGTAATTTGATTTACAGTAAAATATGTTGGTTGTAACTCATTTTGGCCATAGCGTTGCACAAAGTCGGCGTTACTTTGTCGTTAAATTTCTGCATTGCGGGAGATGCCCGGTGTATAGAGCAAGGAAATAATCAATTATACTAATTTCCTTAAACCGTTCAATGCTAAATATTTCAATGGACTTGTCAATTTTAAAATTCTGGGGATAAACATAATTTTTAGAAAAGATTTTAAAATATGTTTTGACTGAATGATTGGAGCTTGACACATTATCAATAAACCTTTATACACAAAAATACTATTACTATATATAAAATATATTTTTATATATACATGCAAATGTAGTCCACAAATATATAATCGTCTACAGGTATGTTGATAGTGTGTATTGCGCCTGTGGACTGAATATCAAACAATGCACTGCAGACCATGGTCACTTGGACACTGTGGACTGAATATCAAACAATGCACTGCAGACCATGGTCACTTGGACTGAATATCAAACAATGCACTGCAGACCATGGTCACTCGGACAAGCATAGCATGTATGTACAGACTGATCTTTGTCTGAATACTTGTTGCAATTTATTGTCGGGTTAAAATACAACCAAATGCTTAGTAGGCCTACTAATATTATCTAATTAACTTTATTCCTGTTGTGGAAAACAGTGCAAAAAGGTATTCAACTTGGAGAGAAGAAAGAGTCATAAATACTGCTTGCATAAAATACTAGTACGTTGAAGGACTTAATATTTCCCTTGCCAATTTTACTGCCCATTTCAGCCTTTAGTGTTTGAAATTACTTTTTGTCTATCGTAACACATTCAGTAAATAGGCAAACTATTAACCAGTATAGTCATAAATCAATTGTTTATAAAAATTATTTCAAACACTAAATAGGTCAGTGTTCATTCGAAAGTATTTACCAGTTTAAAATACTAATTCAGTTTTATAAATGCTTACTAACAAACACTATAGAATTTAAACACAGAATAGGGATAAAGCCAATGTAAAATATAAAATCATTGAAACATTTATATTACGACTCATGTAATACACATACCTGTAATTCACATTTACTTGTTTTCCAAAATGATTTTTTTTTTTACGAAATCATATACAGACAAACACAGATGGCATATAATGTATTGACTAATTGTATTTTTAATAAACTATGCATTTCAAAATGATATTTACAGAATGTCAATAGTGAAAAAAAAATTCATATGAGTAATTTCTGTGTTTAACTGGCAAATGTTCCACAACTTCTGTATCCATATCACTCAATCTTTTATCTGTAAAATAAACATAAATAATAATAAAGGAGCAAAAATATCACAAATAGGTTATTTATAAACAATTAATGGGTTATTTACATACATTTAATTGTCAATTTTTAACAGAGAAAATTGCTGTATGAAGTTTTGCATTAATTGGGCAAACCAATTGTTTGCACAATGTATATTTTTTTCTAATTCATCAGTATGCAGTATGATATTTGTTTAAGACTGAAGCACGCTATTAAAATAGTTCATGAGAGAATTGAAACTAAGCTTTTCTATTTCATTACATTTATAAATTCACTCTAGTACAAATAATTAACAACCACTTGCCCCTCACCCCTGTGGGTACGAATCCCGACATGGACTTTGGATTCTTTCATGTGAGGAAGCTATCCAGCTAGCTTACGGAACGTTGGTGGTTCTACTCAGGTGCCTGTTAGTGCCTGAAATAATGCACAGAAGGGCACCTTAGGTCTCCCGCCACCCGTAAAGCTGGAACGTAGCCATATGACCTATCATGTGTCGGTGTGACGTTAAACCCAATCAAACAAACAAATAATTAATAATTAATGAAAAAACTGTAACTACAGTAACATTACCTCTTTCAACTTTCTCCTTATTTCCAGAGTACTGTTTATCACAGATTTTTCTTTTGGATCAAGACTTTCCTTTGACACACTTGGTCCTAAATCTGCAGGTCCCTGCACTTTACCCAGCATTAGCGCATTTTTCCTTATTTCTTTATTAAGCTCATTTGTTTTAATAATACCATTTTCAGTTTTTGTTTTGTCTGTTGCTTTTCCTGTTTTATTTCGAATCAGTGCTTGTCTTGGTATAAACTTTGGCACTGTTGTTCTCTTACTGAATTCCTTAATCACAATATTTTTGCTTTTCAAATTCTCCTCAACCTTGTCCTGCATAGTTTTGACATTAGATCTATCAAGCTTTTCTTTTGAGCTCACAATTTCACTTTTGTTATCCAAATCAGTTTTAAGGGAATCTGAATCCTGTATCTTTGAACAACTTATTTTAACTTGATCAGTCCTTGCATCAAAATTTGCTGGAAATGTGGCTTGAGCAGATGGCACTTTTGCTCCACCATAATTTTGAGACTTTCTAAATACTCTGTCTGTGAACCTCATCTGTTTTGGAGGTGGGGGTAATGTAAACTGTTCCTCATTGTCTAAGTCAGGATGCAGTGTAGTTTCAATTGATTCACTGTTGTCACTGTTGTCTGTTTCAGAACTTTCTATATTTTGTCTTTTTAACACATTTACTCTATTTAGAATAGCACTTTTACCATAGTTTTGTAAACTTTGAGCCTGCTGAACCACATGTTCACCGTAGCGTTTAGAAGTCTGATGATTCCGATCATTTGTTTGAGGTTGTTCTATTGTACCACTATTTCCTAATATTGAATGTGCGACATGGTTTTGTAAATTGCTACCACTTGGTAAATTTTGTTGAGGTGGCGCTGATGGACCCCCATAGTTTTGATTGGTATCACTTAAGTATGATGGCTCGTCATGTACACCATATTGCTGTGCATTTTGATAACTAGTATTTGTAAAATTCTGTGTCTGTTCACTTTGACAAGCAGAACTGTAGTACTGATTATCTATTGTGTCAAAGTTTGTGCCCCCATTTTCTATTGATAATGCCTGGTGACTGTCTGTGTTTCCAAAATCTTCTTCTTTAGTTACAGTACTGCTGGAAGATGTCTGGATGAAACTGTTAGAATATGTACCATCAGACCCTAAAGATATAAGATAAATTATAGATCATTAATTTGTAAAAAAATTAGAACCATTTAAAAATTGGGGAAGTCCTAATACTGATACATGTAGATTAGTCATCTAGCCATAGTTTTTTTTGTTTAGCGACCATTTACTACATATCTAGCCTTCCTGAATGTGTGTAATGAATTAGCTCTGTTCTGAATTCAGAATAATCTGCATGAATTTTCAACAGAATACAAAAGTTAAGCTACAATTAATACAGAGTCTGGTCAGATTTACCGGATGTGCAGACTGGCATAGCTCTTTACTGATGGCACAGTTCCAACAGGTTAAGGGCTATCCTTACTTATATAAATACCATAGGCATGCGTCAAATTATTAAGTATCAATGTTTAGTTATAAATGTAAACATCTTTTTTGTCTTAAGTTGATATTTTTCACTGAATTAATCAAAATTATATTTCAAGTCAAAATATTGTATGGTTTATATTTAAACATGAATTTAATGCTTATTTTGATAATTTTTTATATTTTTTTATATTTTTCTTCTTCGTTTGTAAAAAAGCAAAAATCAATAATTATTTACATATCTGAATAGAAATTTTATTATGAAAGTGAAACATACTATATTGTTTGGTTTTTGCTTCAACTACACGTCTCCTCTCACGTAACTTTTCTCTTGTTTCTTGCACTGTTTCAAACTCCGGCGCATAACAAACATGTAGAACACCACCAAAAAATGACCAATCATCAAACTTTCTCTTTGCAAACCTAATAGTTTAATAAATAAAGATTTTTTTAAAAAACAGTGTTTTTTTTCTTTCATTATAATCACCAGTTGATATATGCAACTAAATCTTTGATATGCCACAAAAATCATGTGTATACAATGAAGCAATTTTATAATGATTGGATTTTACTTATCGCTGGAAATTAAAAGTAATACCTAATTAATGATACTGCACATATGCAGTTTGACCAGTCTCTAAGGTAAGGTATTCTAAAAGGTATTTTTAACAAGAGGGCCATGATGGCCGTGAGGTCGCTCACCTGTATATAGGCCCCCGGAGCAGGGCCAGTTTAAACCCCTGGGCTTTTATTTGAACAAACTTGGAAGACACTCATTAGAAGATGTTTCACAATGTTAAGTTTTTACTACACACATGTAATGAAAAACAATGATCTCCACCCCCCCCCCCCCGGGCAGGGCCAATTTTCACCCAAGGGCTTTTATTTGAACAAACTTGGTAGACATCCATAAGAAGATATTTCATGCTAAACATCTAAGCTCTAGCTCATTGGGTTTTTTAAAAGAAGATTTTTAAGTTTTTACTACACACATATAGTTAAAAACAATGACACCCCTGGGGCAGGGCCAGTTTTGACCCCAGGGCTTTTATTTGAACAAACTTTGTAGACACTTACTAGAAGATGTTTCATGCTTAATATCTAAACTCTAGCTATTTGTGTTTTTTCAAAGAAGATCTTTTAAGTTTTTACTATATGCATATAGGGAAAATCAATGACCCCCGGGGCGGGGCCAATTTTGACCCCAGGGCTATTATTTGAACAAACTTTGTAGACACTCACTAGAAGATGTTTCATGCTTAATATCTAAACTCTAGCTATTTGGTTTTTTTCAAAGAAGATTATTTAAGTTTTTGCTATACACATATAAGGAAAATCAATGACCCCCCAGGGCGGGGCCGATTTTGACCCCAGGGCTTTTATTTGAACAAACTTGGTAGACACCCATTAGAAGATGTTTCATGCTAAATATCTTAGCTCTAGCTCTTTGGGTTCTTTAAAGGAAGATTTTTTAAGTTTTTACTATATGCATATAGGGAAAATCAATGACCCCCTGGGGCGGAGCCAATTTTGACCCCAGGGCTTTTATTTGAACAAACTTGGTAGACACTCATTAGAAGATGTTTCATGCTGAATATCTTAGCTCTAGCTCTTTGGGTTCTTTAAAGGAAGATTTTTTAAGTTTTTACTATATGCATATAGGGAAAATCAATTACCCCCTGGGGCGGGGCCAATTTTGACCCCAGGGATTTTATTTGAACAACTTTGGTAGACACTCATTAGAAGATGTTTTATGCCAAATATCTCAGCTCTAGCTGTTAGGGTTTTTTAAAAGAAGATATTTAAAGTTTTTTCTTTCGGTTGCCATGGCAACCAGAGTTCTACATGGAATTAAATTCTTTGTACAATTTTTAAAGGTGACCACCAAAGGAACATTCCTGTGAAGTTTGGATGAAATTGGCTAAGTGGTTTATGAGGAGATGTCATTTAAAGTAAAAGTTGATGGACGGACGGACGCCGGACGAAAAGCGATCACAAAAGCTCACCCTGTCACTTTGTGACAGGTGAGCTAAAAACTCATAATAAGAAATTCATTAAGATAACCTTGCTGACTGTATCCGTTTGTATTTGACTAGATGAACCTCAGTAAACTGTTCACTCGGGTAGTCATCAAGTATCTTGTGTTCCTCTACATCACCAACAGTCTCAAATAACTTTACCAGGTCACTGCCAACACCTGTAGCTGACACTCCCTGTACCAACAAGTACTTTGACTCATGATGAATTGTGTATACCTGTAAGAATAAAGTAACAAGATAAAAATAAAATAAAAAAATGATTTAAAGAATATTTTTATAATCCACCAAACTTAACCAATATTATACCATTTTCAAACAATTCAATCAATGTTTTTGTCATGATAAAATATTTAAAGTTTATATGAATTATAAAAACTCAATTAAATAGGAGATTATATACACTAATTTGCAATGGAGTCAGTTCATAACATTGCAAATAGTATCCCAGTACTGCCACTTTCCAATCAGCTAACAGATATTTCGACAATAAGTGACAGTGAAATTATTAAAATCATTTTTCACTTATAATTCTGCAAATATCATCATTTAAGCTAATAAATGCAATGACTGTTTGAAATACATGTAGTCAAGGTAAACACAAGATGTGTTTTCAGTCTGGTCACATGACAAATAAGGTAAAAAGTAAAGAATTTCTAGGGGTGATTGAAAAGTGTTTGTGATTGAAAACTGGCAGTATGTGGATAGTACTAACTTCTCAATACTCAAATAGACAAGAATGGGAATTCAACAGCATATATTGAGGTAAAAAGAAACATTCTTTTTCCTCAGACCTGAGCTGAAATTTTATATCATAGTATCCAAAATTATTCTATCCGAAATTGAACTACTATTCCTTATTTTAATTTAAAAGCGAAAGATTTTTTAGGAACCTTACTTTAACAGCTGTTGGTTTTCTGCCATCTCTATAAGGAGCCCTTGTTAAACACACTTCTTGACGAATGTGATGTTTCGGTTTGCTCATTCTATGACTTAAAAATTAAAGTGAAAATAAACAACCATGGGCGCTGACATATTGTTTTTCGTAACTTTCACAACTTCCAATTCTAACGTTACACCGTGTCTACTTTCATTTTGGGAAAGAAAAAAAATTAACCAGAAATTTAAAGTGAGTATTATTTAATGATATCGCTTTAGTTGTTGTTAGATATTCCATTCGTTAGTTGCAATAGATTGTTTTCTTTACTTTCAACTAATTTCTGCTTACTGACAGAGGTTATCATTGCAAAAATTAACATAAAATATGCAAATGGACGTGTTTTCAATGTCAGTGTCACGTCATGTGACTCATGGGTCTGACTATACTCTAACAGTTGAGGTAAACATACGCGTGATAAAATCTCAACACTTGAGGAAATACCGCTGTAAACTAAACCGCTGACGAATTAGCTGACGATAGAGAGTAAATAGGAAACTGCTGGCCAGTTAAATGGAAACTGCGGAAAAATATAATATATTTTATATATCTAACTGGTTAGCACTTTTTATAATAAGTTTAATTGGTCAGCAGATTCTACCATATGTTTAACTGGGCAGTAGTTTTTATTATATGTTTAACTGGTCAGCAGTTTCTCGCACGCTGAATTTGATGCTCATATAAAATAAGAAGGAAATTTTAAAAAAGCATTTTCTACTATATTTTTTTCGGGAGATGTAGAATCTGCTTTATTTACTTATATTACAACATAAATAAACAATTCACGACAACGCGCCATATTGCTTTATAAATCTTACCTAATACATTAAATTGCAGCAATACTATGCTTATAACTATGCTAATAAATTATTTTTACATTTTAGAAGTATCATTATTTAAAATTCACGAAGTTGACCTCATCACGGATTTCCCGTAACCTCATACATTCTATTAGTATGTTCATTTTTAAACATAAAATATTTATGCAACAAGTGCAAATAATACTGCAAAGACAGCAAAGGGAAAGCTACGCAAAAAACATTGCTTTTAGCTATGTATATGATATTAGATTATTATGATAAAGCGGAGGAGTATAAAAATGTGCAGGCTGATCGGGACTCGAACCCGGGACCCTTGTCACGGTTCAAAACTGTGGACAGCTATGGGAACTAAAATGGCACCATCTTATGCTTCATTATTTATGGGAAAATTTGAAATGGACTTTTTAAATACATGTGAAAGAAAAGCCTCAATATGGCTGCGATTTCTTGATGATATTTTTTTCATTTGGGACCACAGTGAAGAGGAGCTTATTACATTTTTTAATGAAATTAACAAGTATCACAACACTATTAAATTTACTTATAACTACACAAAAACAAATGCAACATTTTTAGACGTAAATTTGGAAAAGAAAGATAACTGTGAAATTGAAACTAGTGTCCATGAAAAAATAACAAATGCCCATCAATATATTGAATTTTCTTCATGCCATCCTTTGTCATGTAAAAAAGGTATTCCATTTAGCCAGGCTAAACGATACAGACGAATTACATCAAATAACAACATATATGAAAAAGACTGTGACAAACTACGAGGTTATTTCCGTGCCAGAAACTATCCAGAAAATATCATTACAGACACAATTACCAGAGCATCAACTTTATCGAGGGAGAATACATTAAAATTAAAAGACAAATCAGAAGAACGTGAAAATATTATCCCTTTGTGTGTACATATAATCCATCTTTACCTAATATAGGTAAAATAATTAACCAATATTGGAACCTATTGAAATTTTCTCCAAATGAAAGTGTACGTAAATTATACAAATACAAACCAATTGTTGCTTATAAGAGACCGAGAAATTTACAAGACAATTTAGTTCATACTCATTTAAATGCCAAACTCATGGTTGGTTCAGTATCTAAATGCTGTCGACCTCGTTGTACTCATTGTAATAATATTGTTAAAACTAATAATTTTTCAAGTACTACTATACCTAAAGAATTTGCTATAAAACGTGATTTTTCATGTATATCTTCAGATGTCATTTATCTTATAACTTGTAAAAAATGTAAAAAACAGTATGTTGGTCAAACTCAGCAAAAATGTAGTCAAAGAATGAATAGCCACAAATTTGATATTAAACACTTTCCTGACACTATTACCAATGTATCTGAACATTTTAATTCTGAAGGGCATTCTATCAAGGATTTTTCATTTATGCCAATTGATAAAGTAAAGAATAATTGGCAAAGATTATTAAAAGAAACTTCATGGATGTATAAGCTAGGTACAATTATTCCTGATGGCATGAATTCCAAAATACTTTATTAACTTTAAGGATTATAATTCTTCATTTTAATAAAAAAATTTTATAAAAAATTGTATTTTCTATTTTTTGCTTAATATGACTTAAAACTAATTTCATGTCATTATGTAGTTTATGCTGGTTTTCTTATTTTACATTGCTTTTTACTGCATCTCCACCAGTGTTTTGTATCTTTTATATAGATCCTACATATAACATTCATACGCCAAATTATGTATTACATTTTGACGTCGTTGTCCTTGACGTCATATGACGTTGACGTCATTTCCTGTAAACAAAGTATACCTGATGAAGACTTTTGAGTCGAAACGTTGTATATTTTTCAAATAAAATAATTACATTTTTAAATTGAAACTGGAGTTGATTTCTATATTCAAACTTACAATATGATAATCATTGTGATTTTAAAATAGCATTATTATACATGGAAAATGAAAGCAGACATTATATTGCGCGATGAAAGTTACCGGAATCGGTTTTAATCCCTTAAATTTTGTTACAACAGAATGGCCATTATGTTCAACTTTTAATCATACGAAAGGTTTTGTGACGTAAAAATAATTTATAAAGTATATTGTTTTTTATATATATTTAAAGAAAACACAGACATATTAAATAGAAATGATTCCAATTTTTGACATGTATATATACTTGTCACGGTTCAAAACTGTTCACTATTTAGGGGAGATATTGGGTAAGCGGATGGATAGCTCAATCGGTAAAGCCGCGGTACGGTATTCCGAGGGTCCCGGGTTCGAGTCCCGATCAGCCTGCACATTTTTATACTCCTCCGCTATATTGAAATGGGTACAGACAACAATGTGAAATTAAACTCGGAGTTTATACCATCACGGTATCCCCTGTTGGGCCCCAAATGTCACAAGGAGAGAAAAATGTGCAGTCTGGCCGGGACACGAACCCGAAAACCTCGGAATACCGTATCGCGGCTCTACCGACTGAGCTATCCGGCCGCTTATCACACCAATTCCCCTTAATAGTGATCAGTTCTGAACCGAGACATACTAGCTAGTAAATGTATTATGACTCTCAAATTTTTTATTTCAATATAAAAACAAAGTAGATATTTTTATCACTCTCAAGTGTTAGGATTTCGCCATATCGACAGAATATATGTATTATGACTCTCAAGTGTTGGGATTTCAACATATAGACATGATCTATGTATTATGTACCTCAAGCGTTGGGATTTTAATGTCTAGACAAAATATTTGTATAATAGCCCTCAAGTGTTGGGATTTAAATGTCTACACAAGATATTTGTAAATTGACCCTCAAGTGTTGGGATTTCAACATATAGACAAGATAAATGTAAAATAATTCTCAGATCGTTGGATTTCAATGTCTATATAATATAAATGTATTATGTCTCTCAAGTGTTGGGATTTAAACGTCTACACAAGATATTTTTATATTGACCCTCAAGTGTTGGGATTTCAACATATAGACAAGATTAATGGACTATGTCTCTCAAGTATTGGGAATCAACATATAGACAAGATATATGTTTTATGTCTCTCAAGTATTGGGATTTTAACGTCCACACAAGATATTTTTATATTGACCCTAAAGTGTTGGGATTTCAACATATAGACAAGATAAATGTATAATGTCTCTCAAGTCTTGGGATTTTAACGTCTAAACAAAATATTTGCATAATGACCCTCAAGTGTTGGGATTTCAACAAATAAAAAAGATGTAAATATTATATCTCTAAAGAGTTGGAATTTCAACATATAGATGGAATATATGTATTATGTCTCTCAAGTGTTGGGATTTTAATGTCTAGACAAGATATTGGTATAATGTCTCTCAAGTGTTGGGATTTTAATGTCTGGACAAGATATATTTAAAATGCCTCCCAAGTGTTTGGATTTTAACATATAGACAAGATATATGTATTATGACTCTCAAGTGTTGGGATTTTGACGTCTAGACAAGATATTTGTCTAGTGTTGGGAATCAACATGTAGACAAGATATATGTATTATGTCTCTCAAGTGGTATGATTTAAATGTCTAGACAAGCTATTTGTATAATGGTTCTCAAATGTTGGGATTTCAACATATAGACAATATATATGTTTTATGTCTCTCAAATGTCGGGATTAAAACGTCTACACAAGATATTTGTATATTGACCCTCAAGTGTTGGGATTTCAACATATAGACAAGATAAATGTATAATAATTCTCAAATCGTTGGTTTTCAATGTCTATATGATATACATGTATTATGTCTGGATAATATATATTTAAAACGTCTCCCAAGTGTTTGGCTTTTTACATATAAACAAGATATATGTATTATGACTCTCAAGTGTTGGGATTTTGACCTCTAGTCAAGTTAATTGTCTAGTGTTGGGAATCAACATATAGACATGATATATGTAGTGTTATGATTTTAATGTCTGGACAAGATATTTGTATAATGGTTCACAAGTGTTGGGATTTCAACATATATACAAGATATATGTTTTATGTCTCTCAAGTGTTGGGATTTAAACGTCTTGACAAGATATTTGTATTATGACCCTCAAGTGTTGGCATTTCAACATATAGACAAGATATACAATGTATGTTTTATGTCTCTCAAGTGTTGGGATTTAAAAGTCTACACAAGTTATTTTTATATTGACCCTCAAGTGTTGGGATTTCAACATATAGACAAGATATATTTATTATTTCTCTCAAGAGTTTGGATTTTAACATCTAGACAAGAAATATGTATAATGACTCTCAAGTGTTGGGATTTCAATGTCTAGATAAGATATATGTATTATGTCTCTAAAGTGTTGGGTTTTCAACGTCTTAACAAGATATTTGCATAATGACCCTCAAGTGTTGGGTTTTCCACATATAAAAAGATATAAATATTATGTCTTTAAAATGTTGGAATTTCAACATATAGATAGGAGATATGTATTATGTTTCTCAAGTGATTTTAATGTCTAGACAAGATATTGGTATGATGTGTCTCAAGTGTTGAAATTTTAAGGTCTGGACAAGAT